CCACACTCGGTGAGTTCAAGCCCCGCATCAGGCTCTGTGCTGACAGCTTGGACCCTGGAGCCTGCTTTGGATTGCGTTTCCCTCTCTCTGCCCCTCCCCTGCCTCCTCTCTCTGTCTCTCTCAAAAATAAATAAACATTAAAAAAAAATTAAAACTAGGTACAGCATTGGGGCATCTGGCTGGCTCAGTCGGTGGAGTGTGCGACTCTCGATCTTGGGGTCGTGCATTTGAGCCCCACGTTGGGCGTAGAGATTACTTTTTAAAAATTAAATAGATAGATGAAACTCCTACTCCTGCTCCTGCTACAAAAAAGCCCCTCCCCAAAGCCACGGAAAGTGAAACTGTGGATGTGGGCAGGGTGACTGCTGTGTCTCCTTTGGAGAGATATTCAAGTCCTTTGCCTGTTTTTGAATTGTGGGTTGTTCATCTTTTTCTTGTTGAGTTGTACGAATTCTTCATATATTCTGGATCTTGATCTGTTAGCAGGGGTATGACTTGCAAATATTTTCTCCCATTCTGTGGGTTGTCTTTCCACTCTGTTGATTGTGTCTCCTGATATTGTATCATATAGTGATTATTGCGTATCTCATGTGTTATGTTATATTGTATGCATCTAATATGTATAATATAATATGTATTCCAGCCAGCTCTGTTCACTAAAAAGTCTGCACACCATGACCAACCCAGTAATGAACATTCTTAGCACCCAAACTAATATAACTTCCCACCCAAAGAAATTAGAGTTTCTTGGAGTTTCTATCTGATGCAGGTCGGGGACAGAAGTCCAAGATGAGCCTGGAGCGTCTGGTCATACAAGAGAGCAAGAACACTGTCAAAGACCAGGAGAGACATGCAAACAGCTCACAACCTGCAAAGGCTCCCACTGGCCAGGTGGGCCCATCAGTTGAAGGATGCTGTGTTTAAAAAAATTTTTTAATGTTTATTTATCTTTGAGAGAGAGAGACAGAGCACAAGCGGGGTAGGGGTGGAGATAGAGGGAGACACAGAATCCAAAGCAGACTCCAGGCTCCGAGCTGTCAGCATGGAGCCCGACTTGGGGCTTGAACCCACGAACCATGAGAGCATGACCTGAGCTGAAGTCGGACACTTAACTGACTCGGCTGAGCCACCCAGGAGCTCCTAAAGATTTTATTATTTTTAAAATTTATTTTATTATTTTTTATTAAATTTTTGTTTAATGTTTATTTTTTGAGAGAGAGAGAGAGAGAGAGAGAGAGAGAGAGAGAGGAACAGAATAAATGGGGGAAGGACAGAGAGAGAGGGAGACAGAATCCAAAGCAGGCTCCAGGCTCCGAGCCATCAGCACAGAGCTTGACGTGGGGCTTGAACTCAAGAACTGTGAGATCATGACCTGAGCTGAAGTTGGATGTTCAACTGACCAAGCCACCCAGGTGCCCCAATATTTTATTTTTTAAGTAATCTCTACACCCAACATGGGGCTTGAACTTACAACCCTGAGATCAAGAGTTGCATGGTCTACCGACTGAGCCAGGCAGGTGCCCCATACTGACTATGTATGTATGTATTTATTTATTTAATGTGTATTTAATTTTGAGAGAGAAAAAGAGAGCACAAGTAGGGGAGAGGCAGAGAGAGGGAGACACAGAATCTGAAGCAGGCTCCAGGCCTGAAAGCCGTTGCGCACAGAGCCCCATAACAACCCACTTAACTGTGAGATCATAACCTGAGCCGAAGTCGGGCTCTCCACCGACTGAGCCACCCAGGTGCCCCCATACTGACTTTTTTAAAAAGCCTAATTCATCACCTTCAGAAGATGATGGGAATCATTTTGAAGATGGTATTCTCTTCAAAAGCCAAAATTTTTAAATTTAAAGATTTATTTTATTTTATTTTATTTTAATTTTTTTTCAACGTTTATTTATTTTTGGGACAGAGAGAGACAGAGCATGAATGGGGAGGCAGAGAGAGGAGACACAGAATCGAATAGGCTCCAGGCTCTGAGCCATCAGCCCAGAGCCCGGGACAAGGCTCTCAAACTCAATGACCAAGCGTAGGATCACCCAAGGAAGTCGGGATTAACTAAATCATGCCACCCAGGCTTCATGATTTATTTTATTTTTGAGAGACAGTGCGTGAGTGAGTGGGGGAGGAGAGAGAGAGAGAGAGAGAGAGAGAGAGAGAGAGAGAGAGAGAATCCCAAGCAGGCTCCATGACAGAGCTTGAGCCCACAACCCTGGGATCATGACCTGAGCGGAAATCAAGAGTCAGAGGCTCAACCAGATGAGCCACCCAGGCGCCTCTGTCTTGCCTTTCTTATGATGAATGCGCCACTGGGAGCTAAATAGGACGTAATAAGCAGCATCTGGCAAGGGCAGCGTTCTAGCCAACAAATGAGGAAGAAACACTAGGAGGACACCTCTATCGTGCAGCTGCAGTGAACCACCAGCTCACTGGCTGCCAGCCCCGTGCGGGAGACACCATCAGAGTCTAAGTGTTCCGACAGAAGGTCCCAGCAACCCCCTAGCTGTGCCGGACAAGCCTGAGTCTGACCCCAGTTCTAGAACCAACTGCCAATCCGCAGGGAATGGGGAGGACAGAGCAACCCAAGTGTGGGATCCGCGACCGGCCCCCCCACCCCGACCGTGGGAAATGCTCTGGGACAAACAGCCTGAGTTGGGCAATTGATTCATTGTAAGGGAAGGAAAGGAATGGAGGGGGACACCGTGAATTAGAAAAGACTTAAAAGACAGATCGTTTCCTTTTTGAATGGGCAAGACTAAACTTCGATGTCTGCAGACTCCTCCTTGGGCGACAGACAATTCAGAAACACAAAGCAGCGATTATTGCAAAAGTCACAACAGTGGTTACTTTGTGGAGCTGAGGCGTCCCTGCGCCTGGGCCCTGGTGCAGGGAGGGGCTTCTGGGGGTGCTGGCGACGTGCTACGTGTTGACCTGGGTGGGGGTTATCATGACGGTCACCTTCGAGCTGGGTTTCTAATCTCAGCACTTTGACATTCAGGCCGGATGATTCTTGGCTGTGTGTGTTTGGGGGGTGGGGGGTGCCTTTAACAACATCCTTGGCCTCCGCCCACTAGATGGCAAAAACAGCTCTCCCGCACGCCATCAAGACAACTAAAAAATGTCTCCCACATATTGTTGGGTGTCCCCGAAGAGAAAAACCAGCCCTGGTTGGGAATCTCCTCTTCAGTAACTCCGTAAACTATGTACTTGGTTTATGTGGTTTCTTGGATCTGGCTCTGTGTGTGTATTTTTTTTTTTTTTTTTTTTT